GCCAACATCCTAAGGGATAGCCAGCATGGGTTTGTTGTGGGTACGTCTTGCTTGACCAATCTCATTTCCTTCTACGACCAGGTGACCTATCACCTGGACAAGGGAGATGAGATTGATGTCATATATCTTGACTTCAAAAAAGCCTTCAATCTGGTATCCCATGATCACCTCTCGGCGAAACTGACCAATTGTGGCCTTGGGTCCACCATGATCCACTGGCTGGAAAATTGGCTCCGTGGTCGGACCCAGAGGGTAGTAATAAATGGAAGTCACTCATCATGGTGCCCTGTGACCAGTGGGGTCCCCCAAGGCTCTGTCCTTGGACCCATATTTTTCAACTACTTCATTAATGATGTGGACATTGGTATCAGAAGCGGACTGGCCAAGTTCGCCGATGACACCAAACTCTGGGGCAAAGCATCTACACCAGAAGACAGGAGGGTGATTCAGGTTGACCTGGACAGGCTCAGCAAATGGGCAGATGAGAACCTGATGGTGTTTAACACTGAAAAATGCAAGGTTCTCCACGTTGGGAGGAAAAACCTGCAGCGTCCTTATAGGCTCGGCAGTGCTACGCTGGCTAGCACTACGGAAAAGAGAGACTTGGGGGTCATCATTGACCACAAGATGAACGTGAGCCTGCAATGCGATGCTGCTGCTAGTAAAGTGACCAAAACACTGGTTTGCATTCATAGATGCTTCTCAAGCAAATCCCGCGACATCATTCTCCCCTTGTACTTGGCCCTGGTGAGGCCGCAGCTGGAGTACTGCGTCCGGTTTTGGGCTCCACAATTCAAAAAGGATGTGAAGAAGCTTGGGAGAGTCCAGAGAAGAGCTACGCGCATGATCAGAGGTCAGGAAAACAGACCTTACGATGACAGGGTGTGAGCAATGGGGCTCTTTAGCCTGGAAAAGCGCAGGCTCAGTGGTCATCTGATGGCCACCTATAAGTTTATCTGGGGGAATGTTTGTTCACCAGAGTGCCCCAAGGAATGACAAGGTTGAATAGTCACAAACTACTGCAAGACCGTTTCAGGCTGAACATAAGGAAGAATTTCTTTACTGTCGGAGCCCCCAAGGTCTGGAACAGCCTGCCATCGGAGGGGGTTCAAGTACCTACATTGAACACCTTCAAGAGTAAATTGGATGCTTATGTTGCTGTGATCCTATGACCCCACCTGACTTCCTGCCCTTCGGGCGGGGGGCTGGACTCGATGATCTTCCAAGGTCCCTTCCAGCCCTAATGTCTATGAAATCTATGAAGTCCACACATCAAACTATCTTACTGCACTGTCAGAGCTCTCCTTTCTGTATCACCTCAATAAACTTATCCCAGCTCCTTTAACTTTCTTTTATAACTCATGTACGCTCTATCCCTCTACCTTCCCCAACATACACAAACAGAAGCTACATTACAGTATTGTGGAATTAGACAGGTGGCATATGGGCTGTCAGCTCCATTTTTGTTACACAGAGAATGAAGAAACATTATGGTGATGGAAAAAATATGTATTTTTTTCAACATGAAAATTCATACTGTTCAAATGCTGTGTCCATTAAACCTTCACCATTTTCCTTTAGAATTGAAACTTTAAAAATCTAACAGAAATCTTCCAATTGGTTGGTCAAACGGTTTTCCAAAATATTTTGCATATACAGTGACTTAATCACACCCATACAGAAACATTAAGAACTACTTAATTTTACAAAAACATGGCTTAAGAACAATTAACTCAAGTGTCTCTCCACTGCTGATTAATTAAGAAGAGCAATTATGTCATTTAGGGTGTTAACTGCTAATTACACCATAAAAGACCTTTGTCAAGTTGATTTTAAGTGAGATATTAAGTATAACACTCTGCTGTAATTTTATACACTAAAAACACAACTCACAGACATTCCATGCTTGCTCACAGCTGAGCAACTATAATATTCAACTAAGTGATCATAAACACCATGCAATCGAAATTTAACTGTACAGAACATTAGCAAGACCATGCAGAGTTGACATACAGTCAGAAAATCAGTGAAGAATACACACGTGGAATCATATAAAGAAGCCATCCAAGTTGGTGTAGAAAAGCTAGGAATCTGTGGAAGATTAAGAGGCAAACTTGGAACTTTTGGAAGAGCTACATTGGGAAGACTGTTGGTGATGCTCCTGTGAAGAAAATGTAGGAACACAATAAAAATAGAATTTTTAGGACAACAGGGGAGCAAAACCAGATCAGACAGAAAGATAAAGCCATGTGGGTTAGACCTTCAAGGAAACACTTACTTGACAGGTTGCCACGATTCTTGTTCAAGACCTCTGTGAATGGACTGAGCGATAGATGATTCCATGAGATCAATGTAGCGGATGACCAGGGGAACAAAAATTTCTTGCAAGTGCTTGTGAAACTTTCCATTGCACAAAAATACTTTAAAAAACAAACAGAAACAGTCCTCATTTATTCATCAAGCTGTGATCCATTTAGTTAATATAGCAAAAAGAATTTCCTAAAACATTCCAGTACATAAATAGTTCTAAGAACAGTGATAGATAGCATGACCCCTTTTCTGCAATGGACTTACTATCAGACTCTTTGCTTCTAAATAACTAACTGAATGCACTAGGCAAATACAGAATTGGGCCATGATTAAACAAAGCATTTAAGCATGTGCTTAACTTTCACTATTATAATACTCAGACCTATACATCAGAGAATTCTTACCTTTAAGAAAATGCTTAACAGTTTCACTGAATTGGGGCTTAGTAATTAGCTTGCTCTAACAGAATATTTAGATACTAGGTCAGTGAACAAAACAAAGCAAGATATATATCCTACTAGTCATGAAGAAATATCCAATCATTACTCTTTAATTATCTTACATACATGTCCAAAAGCCACAATCACGAATAGCTCTGTACAAATAGACAGATCCTGCAAACACAATGACTGTGGCTAATGTCTGAGAGAGGATGGTGACTATGAATATCATGCACACAGCTTGACTTGAAGAATATTTTTAATGGTTCAAAAACTGCACCAAAATACAACCTCCTCTACTCCAGTACAAAAAAGCAGCTTTTGTTTCTTTCATTGTCTCTTATTTTTATATTTTTTATTTGTGAGTATTTTCTTTCTCCTTCTATACGGAGTATCCCCAAGTATTCCCTTATCTAGAATCACAGCATTAGTACCTTTCAAATGTTTACATTAATATATATTATATATATAAAAAACAATCAGCACAGACCATAGACCCTCTCCCCACCCTTGTTTTTATTCCTGGGAAAGGCTTAAGCCATGCAGTGCATCTGGAAGATATGGAAACTGTTCGGGAAACATTTTCACTATGTCCTAGGGCCCTTCTACACATACAGGTAAAGATGCAACGGGATCTAATGAGCAATTCACACAATCCCAGGTTCCCCCTGCATCTGCTCCCATGCAGCTGATGGGACTCAGCAGGTTCACAGACGGACAGGGCTCACAGCAGGGGCAGCGGGGAGAATGCTGCAAGTCCTGCATTTTATGAGGCTAGCGGCGGCAGCTGCAGAGTGGCAGCAACAGCGGCGTTTTCCCCGCTGGCCCTTCTATGTTCTCTGCAGCCAACAAAGATGCTCCCACTGCCCCTGAGGAGGCTTGCGGGGGTGGGGGGAAGACAGTGTTTTCCCTGCTGCAAGTCCCATAGCTGACAACACTGCCACCACTGTGAACTTTGTCAGCTGTGGGGCTGTCAATGGGTGGTGCATCCCTGTGGCTGGGAGCCCCTCAATTGATGGGGCTCCTAGCCACAGGGGAGCACTTGGTCACACATTCAATTAATGGCATGATTAGAACAAGCTACCAAGTTGCATATTTTTGTGGAACAACTATGTAGGTTATTGCTTGTTTCATCACAAAATTAATTGGCTGAACATGTAGGCGGGTCATAATTTAAGACATGATTAACATGTATAGAGAGGGCCCTAGTTTCATCCACTGATGTCAGTAACACCAGGGACTGCTGAGGGTTTAGGCATAATATTGTTATTTCAAAGTAATGATCTGAAGCCAAGAATTATTTTCATTAGAAAGAGATGCTATTAACCACCTTTATATTCACCTTTTTGCAAAGCGATATGAAAAGTTTTAATTAGGTTATTTTGCCGTAAGTATTTGTACATTAAGCATTTAATTTTTGAATAGGACTTTAAAAAAGTGGCAGCTTTTTGTTTTAATATCTTGTAAAATTAGCAAAATAGTAGTCAATAAAATTATGGAATAAAGGGATTGATCCTTAGCACAAAGGTGTGTACATACATAGAAATTCAGTGTTCCAAGCCCAAGGACCACCCCAGCAAAGACTTGAATACCCCTAGCCTAAGAGACAAGGAGAAGAGGAGTGTCAGCTTATGATTAGACAGGAGGCAGTTTCAAACCCTACACTGTTAAGAACTTAAAGCTGGCACTGTCAAGTTTTTCTGAAGTCAACATGTCACTTTACAGGCAGTCATTGAAAACAATGTAGGACTGGCATAATATAATCACAGGTGCTTGAAGAGGTGAGCAAGCATGCTATTGCTTTCTGAACAAGCTGTAGAGATGCCCTACTGTAAGCTCTGCTCAGAGGGAATTACAATAATAAAGCCTCATGGGCAGGAGGGCATGTGCTACTATTGAGAAGCCAGAATGGAATTAAAAAGGGGAACAACCAGTAAAAACTGAACAATTGAAAAAATGGTCATACTATGCTGATAGTCAGCTTTGCAAGAAAAGGAAATTATCTAAAATAATGCCAAGAGTTTTAACTTGCCTTTATCACCATACAAATCTTATTTAGAAGTGTGATGCTGGTTGTAGCCATATTGGTCTACAGGCAAAAGGAACTGGAACTCTTGGCAGAGGTGACATCTTTTATTAGACCATCTAGATATTTGCAAAAAAAAAAATCTTTATTTGCAAGCTTTTGGGCGCACACACCCTTCTTCAGGCATAGAAGAATGCAAAGATTGTAAAATTTCTCCTATGAGAAATTTTACAAATCTTTGCATTTTCCTATGCCTGAATGTGCCCACCTTTTTCTCTTCAAGTAGAAGCTGACCCATGACAGCTCCCAATGCTCAGTTGAGCACGGAGCAGCTCTAGGGTCCAGGTCACAGCAATAACCTACCCAATCAGTGGTACTGGGCTGGTGGCAGCATTGGGTCCTGGACCTAGCAACCCTACCTGATCCCCAAACGTAGATGTGGGGGTGCCATGACACCAACATCAACAAGCATCTCCCTAATCTCATGATCACTGTGCTCTGGACATTTAAAAGTGGGCATGTTGGAAGCCCTAACTGCACATCTGTTTTCTTTCAAGTTCCCAGGTCACTCATGAAAGCAGCACCTAGGGAGCTGGGAGCTCCTGGCTCCCTAGCTGCAAGCACTGCTTCATGGTGTGGGGCACGTGCAGCTGGGGAGCCAGGAGTTCCTAGTTCTCTGTGTCCCAGATCATGGTTTCCTCAAGCAGAGAGCTTTAAAGAGCTTTAAACAGTGTAGTGAAAGCATATTTGCATCAATAGACTTTTCTATGTAAATGTACACCTTTTTTCATACAGATGTCCTTACGCCAATGTGAATTCCACTCTCAGTCACACAGATCATTGTACATTATCAATAACTTTTTTTGAGAAAACAAGCAGCCTGAGATACTGGAGTTTGAGCTTTCTCCATTCTACCAGATTGTGTAGCAAGAACATTCCACTACGTGAGGCAGATTTTTATCCAAATGATTCCTTTAACCAACAGCAGCCATGATAGCAAGACATTTCAAGAGGTAAGCCCTCAACACATTGCCTTTTCTAAGTTAGCTGCTGTCACACTGTCAATTGGTGTACTAAGGTTTAGTCAGAGCAGCTTTACAAATGTTTTTACTGAGCAACACTTTATGGAGAGTACTTGCTTTCCTAGAGGCCATCTGAATTAACCTTGTAACATTCCTAGTTTCTACTAATCTGGGAAAGTGCCTGTGTCACAAAGCAGTGCAGCAATAATGCCAAGCAACTGTACAGTGAGTGATGCCAGAAAGAAGAGCGATGCAGCTGGAAGTAAATGAAACATCAGAGCAGAGAGGGTCCTGGGTAAGGAAAGTCACTGAAAGATAAGACATAAGTTATTTCAATTTTACAAATGTCCATGCCCCAACATTTACTTCAGTCTGAGGCAGGCAACCTTTGGTAGCAGAAGCTATTCCTCACATCATTCTACATTAAGAGGGATTCATTCAAGGATTTCTTAATGCACTAAACTCAAAATGTGGATCACCTGTATAAGTAGCAGCAGAAAATAAACTGCATCCTATAGCAACTCTTCTCTCTAATATGACTCATTATTCATGTGGATGGAAAAATAAGATGGACGTAACAAACTAAAGCAAAGCCAACATCTGCTCAGATCCTCAGGTACTCTAAAAACCACAAATGTAGAGATATGGAGTGCAGTGAAATCCCCAGTGTGATCCAGATAATGTATATATGGGACAATGACAGGTAACCATGCACATGATAACAATGAAGATTCAAGCATGCTCTTACAGTATGACTGGAATAAGCAGAAAGAGGGAGATACTTATAAAAATGTGCTAAATCTGGGCTTAAACAGGAAAAATTCTTCAAATGACACTTTATGTGGAATCATACAAAGAAAAAAAAAGGACACAGGGTACTATAAATGAAGATGGAGAAACATTTTTCTCCTTTGCCAGAGCATGCAGGACATAAGACACTATTAAACTAAAGCAAAGTAGATGTATATCAAATCTCAGTAAAACAATTCCTAATTGTAATAATAGCAGGGCAAAAGAATAAGCTACCTAGGATTGCTGTGGAATCTCCTTCACTGGATTTTAAAGAAGAGCCTTTATAAGCACCTATCTCAGATAGGTTTTGGCTAAGTGAATCATGCATCTGCTCAGGACATTGGACTAGATGACCTGAGGTCCCTTCCAACCCTGTGATTCTTTATGTAGAACCAACAGAAACTAGTCGTTAATTAAGACATTGTGTTACAAACTCAACTACAGACATGAAAAGCACATTTTGCAAATCTTTCCATTTTGTTTAATTTATCAGGCCTCTGAAAGACATCTGTGAAATATGCACCTCTCCATACAAAATGTCAACCTTCTTCTATCTTTTGCTTCTCTGTGGTCCTAAAAAAAAGATAAAATACATTCTTCCATCTATACAAGGTCATTTTTTCAACTCTCTTCTTTTTTGTAAATACTGTTTTAGCTCAAGTTTAAAAATACAGAAAGCAATTACTCATGAACTGAGGACTAACCTCACAGTTTTTTGCTGCAAAGATAAAATGCTGCAAAAATTACTGTATCTTCTCATATATCACGTCCCCAAATAAGAAAAGCATCCTGTTTTTGGAAGGGAAAATGAAGATTTTTTTCTTTAGCTTTAATTAAATCCTGACTGTAGGGCATCTTGACCACAAGGTACCTGACTGTCACTACTGAGGCAAAAATGGCACGTGGTATGCAAGTAAATATGATAAAGAAAGCTACCACAGGTTTTACTTCATGCTCCATCTTTTCTATTGAATTTTCACATGCATTTCACATGCAGCCATTTTAAATGTAATACTAGTAGATCTACATAATAATAAGAAAGGCAAAAATAATAATAATAAAAAAGCATTTTGATCAGAATTATCAAAATGTTACGATGCATAATGACTTTGCTCTGCTCAGGTATCTTTTCCATTTTACTTCAACATATGCAGAACGAAAGCCAATTCTGTGGTATCTCCAGAAAACATACTATGCAAGGTTAATTATATGGAAATTGATCTTTCTTGATCCATTTCCAATACAGTTTGCTAGATACAGTTATACTATCTGTCTTCTCAGAAGATTGTATTATCTTTTTATACTAAGTCTTCTCTTGTACCTTTATAACAATAAATCACTCAACGAAACTGAAGACCTGTACATACCACTATATTACAACTTTATTTTAGATATTTTACTTCATATGAATGATATCCCCAAAATAATTTAGTGAAGTAAAAAAAATCATGACAGAGTGTGGGAGAAGTTGTGCTATGTTCAGCCAACAGAAAATATAGGCTTTAAATGAAAATATGAAACCAGATAGACAGGTGTAAAATGACCGCCCCAAAAGCAAGAGCTACAAAAGAAGCCTGCTGCTAAAACAACAACAGTAAATGGGGGGGTGGGGAGGGCAGGTCTTCAGCTGGAAGTGTAAAGAGGCAGAAAAGCTGACCAAAACGAGATTCCCACAGGAGAAAAATATCTCTGGGTGATGTGAAAGTTAATGTACTTGGCTACTAGACCACTTTTGTTCAGCTTCCTGGCATGCATGACTGAGGACACTTCAGAGTGTCATTGTGCTTTAGCTATCCATAGCTCAAATGTTGGGCCATAAACCAGCCAAAGCAGTTCGGAGCTGACTTGAAGCTGCTCTAAAGTAACAGATACTGGCACATGTTTGGTTCTAGGACCAGGGACTTGCAAATTGTTCCTTTACAGCCCTCCTTGTCAGCTGTGCCCTGTGCTTTACCGAATGCTACGGAAGATTGAATCCTGCTTATCTAGAACAAGAGTTAGTCCAAAAATATAATCTGCTACCTATTGTTCACACGCAAAACATTAAGAGAAAATGCAATTTGGTCTTCTTTAACACAATGGAAAACTGTGTACTATACAGGTCAATCTTCTCTTTCCTGCTTACTGCTGAGTTAATGGAAGCTGTGCTTGGATGCATTTTGCTTTAATCTAGTATAATGCCTTGTATTCTATAAAAGAAACTCAAAAATGTCTAATGGTTTTAGAATAAAACAAAACACATTGATAAAAATTACACATTCTCATTATTCTGCATTCTTCCTAGCACTAAATTTTTGAGATATTTATGAAAATAATCTCACATAAAGATTTACTTAAATGCATTCAATATTAGTTAGATTATTTCTATATTGTTGGCAGTTCACTCATGTCAGGTTTATATGAAAACTGATTCCTGCATCTCAGATTTAGAGCTCATTTAAAGCTCTTGAGATAGAATAACACGCAGGTGTCAGTCCTCCAAATTTCAAAGGTTGAAGATTAACCTAATATGCAATATGGTGACCTAACAGTTCTTCATTTGAAAGAAATCTGAAAAGTAATCTCTGATATAGCCTCAGTGTGAGAATAACCCAGTGGGATTTCCACCTCTTCATTTCCTAATGAGTTTTTTGATAATGAGAGGTGACTTTGCCAGTCACTCTGGGCTCTATTATGGCTAATTTGACTCCACTTCACTCTCCTTGTTAATTATTAACACTAGCCTTTTTATCCTCATGAGACCACATTCCTGTTTTTCCCTTTTTAGATTTTTATGAGCCTATCCTTATAAAGGTAAAAGTCTTTGAGAACAGGTTTTCACTTAGTATAAAGCCAGAACATTTATTCCATTTAGGAAGACTCTGTTACATCGATTGTATAAGCATGAGGTGTTCTTTCTGATGGCTTTAATGTACTAGCTATGTGAAAGGGCTGTTAATTAAAGAATAAGCACTGTGGTATGTTTCACTTGGGAATTGGTTCTTGATAGAATGGTCATTTGCCACTTGCTAGCATATTCACCGATTAAAAGGTGACTAGTTTCAAGGATTGCTTTTCAACAGTGTTGAAAAAAACCTGATCTGTACAATTTTCCAGATGGGTTTCACTTGTCAGAAATGGTCACTTTCTATATGTATTGCGATTAGGGGAATTATGGAAAATAGTATACAGGTGTGACATTTACTTTTTATAGCCATTGCTTCTTTCTCTTTTGGTAACATTTTACAACCCTGCTGATAATTGCTTCATTACGAAAACACATTTCCCCGTTTTAATAAAATGCCTTTCCTGAGACTGTTTCCTTAGTAATCATTTAGAGTAATTATCCATTTAATCTCTTCAGAGAAGAAAAAGAAAGCAGTAGCCTACTAACAGTATATTCTTACCTAAGTATGGAGCAAGTATGTTTGTATTGCCTGTGTTAGTTTGGAAATCAATAGACAAAGAAGCCCAGACTGTGAAATAAAAGGGGTAGTTAAAATGGTGGTGTCATAAAATCTTCCGAACTAAGCACAGACAGTCAAAAAGCCCAAGGCTGAATTGATTCAGTCTTCACAGGTCAGTCTAAGCTGCATAGACTGAACTGATAAACAAGTGACTAGACATTCACTTTTGATTCTGGAAATGCAGTCACATGCCTGCAGTAGCTCAGGCCAGAAGCTGAGGGATGCTAGAGCACGCCTCCCTGCTCAGCTGGAGCAGACACCTTGGGCCAAAGCTAATTTGTTCGCTCTGGGGGGATATGGGGGGGAGGGAGGGTTGTGGTAGAGGTGCAAAGCATCCTGGGATGTTGGGGAACTGTGAGTTAACTTGAATCTGGAGGGGATCTGGGACAGAAGTTCAATAAACTGATGTAACCTAAATCAGTTAAGTCTCATACTACATCCATCCAGGTTTATCTTAAACTGGTTTCAGCCATTTCATAATGGTTTATGTGCATTGAACTTCTGTTGTGTTACAGATCGAAAACAGTTTCTGATCACTTATACTGGTTTATGTGCAACTTGCGTCCCTAACCCTGAAGACCAACACCCTTATTGCTGCAATACAGTTCCGTTCTCTAGATCTAAGGGTCTTGAGTATTGCCTAATATCAAATTAATAGTTGCCACTGGTTAAATTAAAAACAAAACAAAACAGACCAAAAACCCTGTTCCCACCCCTGCCCAAACCTTAATATTCCACAACACAAATGCCAACATTGCAATTATCATTCTCATTGGCAATTTCAGCTCAGACACCCAGGATGGAATGGACACAAAGAACTTTTTTACACCCTTTCAAGCATCTCATAAAAGCTAACAGTTAAGCATATACGTGTGGCACATGTAGGAAGTTTGTGCTGTCTAAAAGGCACTTTTCCTAGGGAGCTCCAAAGGAGCAATTTCCAGCACCATTCACAGAACACAAACAAAAATAAAATAGCAATAAAACCCATGCACCTTCTCTCACTTAGAAAACTATGTAAACAAGACAATTATACATCAAGAGTGTGGCATTGCACTGTACCAATTAATGAAAACACAATTAAGTGCTCATGGTAAGAGATTGATAATAAGGGCCACTAACAGAACATATAACAACAGAGGCATACAGGTTCCTATATGACTATATTACCAATGCTTCTCAACCTGGGCTAGGATGACTAGTTCTATGGCTGAGAGGACAGTTCAATATTCATGTTTATCCAGCCTTTGCCTGCAGACCAATTTGCCTTTAAAGGTGATAGTGAACTACACTGTTGCTACTTACTGCTTCTTGTCATGTGGATACTTCTTCAGTAGGAACTGCTTTAAGTGATGTGTAACTCCTGATTTTGCACAAGCACTCACTAACTGATGAAATTCAATTATAAGCAATATAAGTTACAGCACCTCTGATCTTGGAGTCAAAGTCACTGTATCTTAGTTCCAGTCCCTCAGGTCATGCTGTTTTCTATACTTAACAACAACTGAAACTAGCAAAGATCATCTTTGGAATGGTTTTGAAGAAAAGACTAAAAAATTTGGTTTTCAGTGCATATAAATATTTTGTAATAAAAATGGAAAAGCTTGGAATTAATTGAGATATGAAACATAACAGCATTTGCTTTTTCAAAAAAACCTGAAGAACAATAGATAATTTTATTTTTCTCTTATCAAGAATAAGCAGTAAATATACTAAACTCCATGTATATTGCCTTAAAATGCTCTTAAAAATCTGCCTGCACATTATAGTGCAGCTTTTAAATTTAACTTGACTAATCTTCATGAGTTTCACTGATATTTCTTGAGTAAAATCACTAACAAAAAAGAATAATAAAGTGTAAGTGCTGTATGCTAGACATTTTAAAATTGGCCAGAGCCAAAGCAAAGTTAAAACACTGTCTTGTAATCATGAAGTCCAAATTATGGTACAGTACAATGTTTAAAAAAAACAAGACATTTATTTTGCCTATATGCTTTATTCCAGTTAATGCTGAGTCTTCATTGCCATTATAAATATAATCATCATTAAAGCAGTTACTTAAATGAATGCTTAGCATGAGTGTAAATACAGACAGACCTATTTAAATATAATATAGTAATAACAAAATATCAAATATTTATTTTGATGAGTTTAGAGTTGAACAGCTGGGGCAATACTATCCCGAAGGGTTTAGCTATAGGAAAGACCTGAGTGGCAGAAAGATGAGCAACAGCTTCATTCCAGAGGAACTCAGCACAGAAACAGGCTGAGTAAAGATGACATTATTATTTCTGCTTTGTTCTGTAAATTATAGAACTTAGAATTTTTTTTAAAGAAGATTTCTATAAAACAAGGAAAGAAACTTCTGGATCTTACTGTCATTTCTTAAGAAGTTATTTAGCAACTGAAAAAGTGGAAAACTGTCCCAGGAATCTTGTGGTTGTGCCTCCAGTACCGAATCCATATCAACAGAGAAAAGGGACAAAAATTTCTCTGCATGCTCAGCCAATAAATCTGGCCACCAAGCAAATGCCTATAAAATGAAAAAAAAAATTAGTAAATGTAATCCCCAAATAAATTAGTACTATGGTGCAAGGGTGAACTGTGGATGTCATATAGTCATATCTTTTATTATACAGAGTTGATGTGCGTTGCATGTGTAACAAATATAAATGCATTTTGACAAGTATCAGAAATAATCTGAATGTATAACTCTGAAAGATAAAAATTACTGTCACAAATGCAAAAAAAAGATAAAGCAGCAAGTAGGTCTCTGAAAAATGCGTATAGTAAAACATTTTAAAAATATGAATATAATTCCACTGAAGGTAACTGTTTTTGCCAGGCAGAGAGCGGAAGAAAACAAACAAAACCCCCACCAACTGAAACCCTGAAGCATTCTTTGGACAATTACTCTTATTTTAGATAAATTAAATGCTAATGCAATACAAATTACCCTTATATTTCTCAAATACTCTCTGCACCAAGAAATACAGAAACACTTTTTGTCCTCACTTATTTATCATAATAGATTGTTTTACATTTCAAATACTAGATAAAATTAATAACCCCTGCAATCTGTATTTCTGATTGTAGAATCCTTGTTTTTAACTCTTAGTTTGTTCTGAAGAGACATCATGAATTAATACAATTTGTCTTTAATATATTTTATGGCTACATTTTTGGAGGTTCAGTAATCCCTAATTTACAATATAATTTTATATTAATGAAACGGCATTTTGCACTGTGCATCTTTCATGAATATAATCTCTGTGCTTTAGCTGGTTTTACTTCAGAAGAACAGTCAGGAAATTTGTAGAAAAGTTCTGTGTTCAGGCAAAGTTTGAAGCTTCTTCACACCCACATCCTGTCCTTTTACCTGTGTTTACATTTCTGTACTTGGAGGAGGAAAATAATGATACATATTGTAGTTGGCTGTTATATCAGGGTGAGAAATATGAAGGAACGTACTGGTGCTAAAGATGAAAGCAGATAATTTTTCAGAGTTCTAAACTCGGAGTTTAGAATTCATATGAAAATCAATCTAACTGCCGAGAGTATTTTATTCAGTGTCCTGGAAATCATCTGATGCTAAAAAAGTCACCTAAATAAGATTTAAAGTAGATTGACATTTTCAGAAGCGGCCTCCTAATTCTGAACACCTCTATTCTTGAGGTACCAACATGGGAATCCCAGATTCTGATCCACAAAGGTGCTGAGCTCTCACAAGTCCAGTTAAAATCAACGACCTACTGCAAACAGAAGCAAAGAGCATGAAAGTTAAAAATCAAGCACTGGTGGGCACTGGCAGGTGGCCTTTTGAAGTAAACAAAATTATTTTCACAAGAGATAGCCAAAACCCGAAAGGTCCAGACTACTGTCTTCCTCCATTTATTATCCATTTACAAATGACAAATTTTCTTGAACTTCCAAGAATTATCTGTCAGAAATTAGTGAGCAAGTGAGAAGAATGGTGAAAAGATACAATAGCTAAGATGTTGTTTCATCAAAATGCATTATATGGCAACAAGTTACCTTTATTTACTGATTAGTCTCAGACATCCTAAAAGAACAAAAACATCTGACCTGATTAAAGAAAAAATGAAGTTCTTAAATACTCATAGGAAGTACCAATGTGGCAAAATAAAACCAGAAACAATAAGAACAATTTACACCACATGTTCAAGACAGTAACAGCTCCATGGTACAAATGGTAATGCCCACCTCAAACAAAGACAACAAAACAGAAAACAAACAAAGAAAAAACAGCGGTGCCTTGCTTGTAATTAATCACATACCTCTCTGGCCTGTGGGAATCCAGAAATTTTGGAAGTGTTGAGGAACAAAAGGAAAGTTGAAGTATTAAAAAAACCTCTTAAAATCACCTCTCTGAGAGGCTACTAATCATTTCTCTTCATTGTATCATCATATATCATTTATTTCTTCAATGTTTTGACTCTTGGATTTACACTCAGGAGTAGGGCTGCACATTATATACTGTTCTGCTCTTTGTTTCACCTACATTTTAATCTTGTATGTTTGATTATTTCATGAGTATCAGTAGACTAGATTTCATGCTGGAAACAAGGGGAAAACTATGCAAGAAACCAAACAAATAAACAAACAAAAAAACCCCTTTAACCTGATTGAGGCTTCTGAACTAATTTCATATGGACAGATAAAAGACACACACATTTCTTTAAAATGTTACATATAAAACTATATTTAAGTAATACTTAAATGATGGGCTTTACTTGTATATTGGTATTTTATCAGATACCTTTGTTTTTAAATGTCAAATGTTCTTACATCAATGCACATTCTCAAAAGACAAGGAAAAAAGCATATATACTTTTATTAAGAAATCATTTACAGTGTAACACAGTGGCAATACTAGTGTGGAATAAAATCTCCTGGGAATTTATTTCAAATTATTGAAGCAGCTGTTTTTCAGTATAAAATAAAATAACCATAACAAGTTCACACATGACAGATGTAAGCTAAAAAACTAGATTCCACCGTGTGAGCTAAAAGCAGATGTTTTGAATGATCATATTTATAACTATACACACGCACTAAATCTTGATTCATCTCTGCATAATTTCTGCCCCCCCAATTATTCCTGGATTTCTTTAAGAATGTCTTTTACAGTAATTTCCTGCATCTTACAAAACTAGACCTTTATATTAAATAGTAATACTATGCTTTTATGTGTATATAATATTGTTTATTTTTTGTAATACATTTATATAAAAGGTGCTATTATTGTAAAGTCTATTGTAGTTTACATACCAGGGAACAAACATCTGGCAAGTAAATTAAAAAATATTAAATTGCTCTATTTTACCTCTTCTGTGTTAAAATGACATTTTAAAAAGGACAACTTATAAAGGCACCATTCTTCAGGCAGTCAAAAGAAGTGTACAAATAATGCAAATTTTACTGGTCATTATTTTTAAAGTTAAAATCAACAGGTACAAGGCACAATAAAATATAAGGTTCAAAGCTGTATTTCTTTTCCAGTTTGATCGAGGGGTGAGAAGTTGGAAGGAACAACGGTATAAGGCTATGAATGTTTTCCAAACCATTTCATCACCTCTGGCACAAATACCCCCTCTCCATTTTATGCTCTTTAATTCTAATTTCTAAATCCTCAGCTTATTCAAGGGAATTCAAGTAGAGATTTATTTCACTTCACTTTCCATAAGCTTCAAAATTCTTATTGCTCTGTAAATGTGAACTGCCTTGAACATATGTCAAGAAACTAAAGCTAGGATATTTCTTGACAGAATTGCTTCACATCATAGGGAAACAATGTAGGTATGAACCATTATCTAAAGCAAATACAGCTCTAGCCTCACCTCTGAATGATGCTCTTCATTTTGCTGCAATACTTCGATGCAGAGTTCTGCAAGGTGAAGAACCTCTTCCAGCTTTCTAGCAGGTATTGCTTGGTTCATGGTCTCTAAACAATGCAAAAAAACAAAACAAATATTTTAAGTAGAAATAAGGCAAAACAACAAAACCCAGCCCACTGTATGTTGGCAGGGAGTGAATAATGCAGTAGTAGGTAATTTTCAAATATGGAGGTGATTCAACATTTTAGGGGGCTTTTTTAACAGAAATTAATTGCAGTTGTATTACAGATTACAGAAAATATTTTATCCACAAAGGAATCACTGGCTACTGTGAATACTACCTGATTTAATACATGAGAACTAACAGGTGCATCAACACATTAGATGCTCAACTTCTGCAACAAGCAAGTTCTAATTCTCTTCAAGGTCAGGTATACAAAGCAGCAGACACTACAGACCCTTTTTCTTATTGTATTGTCAATACAATGCCATTCTCACCAGATGAGTCATTACTGTCATTAGCAAGATTCATGCTTTTTGCAGCAGTTAAAATTCCAGGCATGTTTTATCTGAATAAGAGCCTAAATTTTAGGTCGACATAAAATTGAGAAAGTACAAGAAACAACAATGACATCATGCAATTAATTGATTCTTCCATCCCCAGTCCCAGCTTTCAATAACAGGACATTCTTTGAAGATGAAGGTCCTTTTCAACATGATAGTGAAAAGTAGCACTATCAAAATAAAGATGTTATAATTAGACTGCAAGGTACCTAACAGAAACTATGCATTGAAAACACAGTCATAAATGAAAAAGATATAAATGAAACTAGAATATTTCACTTCATAAAATGTAATTTTGACAAGACAGCAAAGAGCATAAAGTTGGAATAAATGTAACTAAACCTTTTAAAAGGCAATTAATTCAGATGAAATATAATATCTATAGGACTACATCTCAGTAAGGGAGGGGGGAACTAACAAATTAATACGAGAAAAAAATAATACCATAAAGATAAATATATTGGCCAGACTAAATCATTACTTCTTGGAATGGAAAAAAAATGTTCTTATACGTGACTGTATGCGTGTGAGATAGAGGACCTCACCCAGTTAAAAACCCTGCGCCAGGGATAGTAATCTAAAGGCATGGGGATGGAAACTAGGTCCTACATTATAAACCAAATACAAGGAACTATGATAAAAACCAGAATGTGTCAGAGACAGAAAATTCGACCTATTATTTCTTTCTTTACTTATGTATGTATATGATTAAACTAGTAGATGCCAGATACACCACATTCCCAGTGCAGAAGTCTCCTTGGATTCAAGCACAGAAGTTTTTTAACCTTACCAAAAATCTATTAGAGACAATATTTTAATGCCCCAAAATAAGAACAACGAAGATCCAAAATGGAAGCATATACTGGAGCGGGTCAGGAATTTTACAATGAAAGATTTTTTGATAGTTAATACTGGTTTGTTGAAATAAAAACTTTCTACAGAAACATGTCAGTTTCTACAAAGATGGGATTTTTAGTCATAACCACAGAAACAAACCCTCACCTACCCCAGCATATCAAAGAATCTAGTGCTTAGGTCACTCACCTGGGATGAATCAGATTGGGGCTCAGGTTCCTGCTCTGCCTAAGACCGGTGGCATTAATCCATCTCTCCTACATCCTCAGGATATGTCCCCCTGCCATACAACTATTAGCTATTCTGAATGGGGTTTCTCTCCCTTTTCTGCTGCAGCTGTTCTAATTCTTATAAATAACAACTGGGCAGAGAAAATGAATCTAACTATTGCTCAGGACTTGGGCCACTTGCTTAGAATGTGGAAGACTAGGGCTGAAGCCCCTGCTCTGATGGGTTATTTAATAATTAATGCAAAGTGGAACAGCTTCAGCAGGAAACTGAGAAAGACTCAATCCAGAAGTCTTGTGATTTGGGAATCTGTGGTGCTGATTAAGATATTTGCAAGAGGTCTATTTTTGCTGCACCTGGTTCAGCTCACTAGCACCATGCCTAGGCTCTTTGGAAAGGTCAGTATATAAATACCACACTTTCTCGTTTGAATCAAGTTAGAACACAAATATAAATATTTATAACCAACTTAAAACTAAACTTACTACCAATGTTCAACCAGGATGTTCTATAATTTAGCATTGTGGGTGCAGCCACACGTGCACTTTACTAAGGAGTTGACTAATTAGCTCCCTAGTAAAGCATCATATATAGTGCTGGGGCTTCTGAAGGTGACCCAGCCAGTCCCTCCACCACCCAATGCAGCCACCAACAGCCCAGGGCTGATCCCCTAAGCCTGCTGCCAGCCTGGGCTGCTCTGCTTCTGTTCTAACTGCTGTAGTCTCAGGTGCATGTGTATATGCTGCACCTGGGAGCTGCTGACTCTACTCCAAACTGCCGGAGTTTATTGCTCCATGTTAAAATTGCACATATAGATGCACCCAGTTAAGTATAATCTGCTGTTATTCTGATATCATTTCCTACTAGTCCCCTGGATTGTGGACAGTGGGGACTAGTGTTTATGGGCCTTTGTACACACCACAAAATTGGCCTTTAAAGCGGCTTAAATGCCCTTTTGCACTGCATTAATGGTGTAGCTTTTTGCATGTTTGGCAGCATATTCTGCTTTAATGGTGTTGCTGTTTGCATGGTTGGCAATGTATTCCACTTTAAATGACTTGGGACATAGCAAGGTAAAACACCTCCAAGGTGTTTTAGTTTGCTACCCAGTGAAGTGCAACAATGCATGGGGTGCTGGAAGCCAATGTGGTCAGGACTTGGCAGGTCCAGCGCAGCTCAGGGGCTGGGGGACCTGGCAGCAGCCCATGCAGGCAAGCTCCACTGAATCAAAAAAGGTGGCGAGCCTGATTTTTTTTTTTAATCCCCAGAGCCTGCCTGCCTGAGCTGTACAAAGGCCTGGAGCTTCCCTTTGCAGCTGCAGGGGGCCCGGTGTTTCCCTCTGCAGCTGCAGCACCCCCCGGGACCACCCAGGCCAGGTATCAGCAGGCGGGGGCCGCCTGCGGGACGCTCGTGCAGCTCAGGGACTGCTTGGTCTGCTGGCAGCTGGCTTCTCCCGCCCCTGAAAAGGCAGGCAAGGATTGGGCTCCCACCCTTGTGTACATGCCACAGGGGTTTAGTTCAGTTTAATTCTCCCTAAATTGAAACAGTGTTTTCAAAAACCCACCGTTTCAATTTAGGGAGAACTAAACCGAATTAAACCCTTATGGTGCGTACAAGCAGCCTACATGTCTAAACCCATACTTCACTCTGAGTGGCTTAAATTCAACTCGCTAAACTATGGTTCATTGTCAGACATTAATGTGTCAGGTATGCTAGGTCTACTAAAAATACAGATAGAATCTGTTACAGTGAACCTTGGGGAGGGGAACTAATTTATTTTACTCCACTGAAATGGTTCAGAACAAGAAAACCACAACAGAGGTGGTAGAGTATTGACATTAGCTAGGCCTATGCATCACACAGCGCATATAAACCATACTCCTGCACCTCACTAGGATTGGAAAAAGCCAGCAACTTTGTACTGTACAAGATTTTCAGTTGCTCTTGTTATTGAATATTCATCTGCACCCTTTAGTTGTCCAAAAACTGCATGAAGAATATCTTCATGAGTAAAATCAAATCGCCATCATTTTTCAAGCCATGGTATGGCGTCTGAAATAGTAGTGGTTGGCTGCTTTGCTACTTCAATGACTTTGTTCTCATGACTTTCAATTGTTGTTTCTCTTGGCTTTGTAACACTCAGATACTTTCAACAATTTCAGTATCCATTATGTATGTATGTAATTTCTTATCTGTAATAACAAGGTCTTCAAATTTTAGCTTGTCTGGAATGCCTGTGGCAGTAATGCTCCTACTTTGAGCAGGGGGTTGGACTAGATGACCTCGTGAGGTCCCTTATAACCCTAATTTTCTATGATTTTATGATAATGACTGCATTCCACAATTTATCAGTCATCTCTGGTTCATAAGTTCTTCTTCCAGCTTAGTGCTGGTACCTTCATTAATTCATGCTTGGTTTTTACTAGCATTTCATCACTATGAACTTTTTCAGGAGTTACCATTGTCTGATGATCATCTCACAGGTTCACTTAAGATCAATTTTACCTCATTCTTTATGACTGTTGAGGCTGAGAGAAGTTAACTTCATCAGCTGGCTTCTGTAGTGTGTTTTTTACACATGGGAGTGTTTTTTTACAAACATACAGTGGGCTGGGTTTTGTTGTTTTGCCTTATTTCTAGTTAAAATATTTGTTGGTTTTTTTTGCCTTGTTTAGAGACCATGAACCAAGCAATACTTGCTAGATAGCTGGAAGAGGTTCTTCACCTTGCAGAACTCTGCCCATGTGTAAAAACACACTTCACCTTGCAGAACTCTGCCTACATGATCTATGGCCTGCAGAATGTCAGTGCAGTTCAATGGCAGAAACTGAAATATTATTTAAATTGAGGGGAATAAAATAAGCAGAGCAGTTTCATTTTGAATCAACAACTCATTAAACAAGTCTTGCATCTTCCATGCACATCAGCTGGCCTGGTAATTTCATAAAAGTGCATTCTTGAAGCTGCATGTTTTGACTGATTTGCCAAAGATTAGTGGTCTTACTTTATCAGCTCCTGATGCACTGCAACAGAAGACTGCAGTTAGTTGTTCTTGAATTCTTATCCCTTCTGCAGCAGTCATCTTTTGGACTGTACTATGTGGTAACAGTTTATAACTGAAAATATTATCAGGAACATATTTGATAATCAGATTTTCAATTTCTCTTGTACTATATTAACCTTATTGATAAGGGCTAGGGAAAGACATTACGCATAAACCATTTTAAGTGATCAGAAACTGGTTTAAACCTGTAACAGAACTTAAGTTCAGTGCACATAAGCCAGTTTCAAAATGGCTGAATGAAGTATCAGATTTAACTGATTTGGGTCAAACCAGTTTATGCAATGTCTGCCCCAACCCCTTCCTGGTTTAAATTAAATGAGAGTCCCTCAGCATCTCAGATACTTTGCAGCTCTGGGTAGGGCTCTCTGCTCCAGCCCAGCAGGGCGGGCCCCACCC